GTTTCAAGGTCAGGATAGAAACAACTTTATTAGACATAACTTTACTGGTAATTGACTTTTTGCATGTAGTCACAGTCTCAGGCTCAAGGTTCAGCCAATTGTTTACTGTCTGAGATCCTTCATCAACTTAGAGCTACGTGTATGGGTCAACGTGACATTATTAGCCTAAGAGAAACTATGTGACTTATCTTGTGTTATGAGAATTAGTAGGGCCCTGAAAATGTAACTTATAATTGTCCAGAGTTTAGTTGTGATCTGTGTAGAGCTATGTGAGAGAAGTATGTGTGTGTGCTGAGTGAGAGATGAAGAAGCATGAGAGAAGTGTGTGTGTGTGTGTGTGTGTGTGTGTGTGTGTGTGTGTGTGTGTGTGTGCTGAGTGAGAGATGAAGAAGCATGAGAAGTGTGAGGGAGTGAGTGGGTGAAAGGGTGAGTAAAGAGTGAATGAATAATCTAGAAGAAGTAAGTGTGTGTGAGAGAGCGTTGTGTGAAAGAGCCGCTGCTACATAGAGGAGCTGTGCCTAGGATCTGTGTAAAGTGCTCTATAGTGAGAGAGCTATGGAAATGAGATGTTCAGCTGTGGCTGTGTGGAGATTTGTAACTGTGTGGAGACAAGGAAGATGGAGCTGTATAAAAAAAGAGATGCAGAAGAGAAATGTATGCACAGCCATGTGAAAAGATGTATTCACATAAAGAATGTAGCTGTGTGAAAATAGAGATTGCCGAGAGAGAGAGATAAAGTTGAAGCAAAAGAGAAGGTTACCATCAGGAAAGCATGTGCTTGTTCCTTTTTCTTAGGTTACCAGTAGAAATTGTGTGTGTTTCCTTATTTTTTCCCCTCAGATAGAAAAAAGTCTAGCTCTCAGATAAGAATTTTTCCTAAGCCCTAACTGCCTTCACGGATTTTTTTTTTTTTTTTTTTTGCATACCCTGGTGGTAGCTGGAGGCTGACCCCTCAAGCTACTGATAGGTATCTTTTGGTCATTTGACTATGATGTGGGAGTATCTTTGGTCATCTGACTGTAATAGGATGTGGGGTATCTTTGGTTATCTGACTGTAATAGGATGTGGGGTACCTTTTGTCATCTGACTCTAATATGATGTGGGGTATCTTGGTCATCTGACTGTAATAGGATGTGGGGTATCTTTGGTCATCTGACTGTAATAGGATGTGGGGTATCTTTGGTCATCTGACTGTAATAGGATGTGGGGTATCTTTGGTCATTTGACTATGATGTGGGGTATCTTTGATCATCTGACTGTAATAGGATGTGGGGTATCTTTGGTCATCTGACTGTAATAGGATGTGGGGTATCTTTGGTCATCTGACTGTAATAGGATGTGGGGTACCTTTTGTCCTCTGACTCTAATATGATGTGGGGTATCTTGGTCATCTGACTGTAATAGGATGTGGGGGTATCTTTGATCATCTGACTGTAATAGGATGTGGGGTATCTTTGATCATCTGACTGTAATAGGATGTGGGGTATCTTTGATCATCTGACTGTAATAGGATGTGGGGTATCTTTGGTCATCTGACTGTAATAGGATGTGGGGTATCTTTGGTCATCTGACTCTAATATGATGTGGGGTATCTTGGTCATCTGACTGTAATATGATGTGGGGTATCTTGGTCATCTGACTGTAATAGGATGTGGGGTATCTTGATCATCTGACTAATAGGATGTGGGGTATCTTGGTCATCTGACTGTAATAGGATGTGGGGTATCTTTGGTTATCTGACTGTAATAGGATGTGGGGTATCTTTGGTCATCTGACTGTAATATGATGTGGGGTATCTTTGATCATCTGACTGTAATAGGATGTGGGGTATCTTTGGTCATCTGACTGTAATAGGATGTGGGGGTATCTTTGGTCATCTGACTGTAATAGGATGTGGGGTATCTTTGGTCATCTGACTGTAATAGGATGTGGGGTATCTTGGTCATCTGACTGTAATAGGATGTGGAGTATCTTTGATCATCTGACTGTAATAGGATGTGGGGGTATCTTGGTCATCTGACTGTAATAGGATGTGGGGGTATCTTTGATCATCTGACTGTAATAGGATGTGGGGTATCTTTGGTCATCTGACTAATAGGATGTGGGGTATCTTGGTCATCTGACTGTAATAGGATGTGGGGTATCTTTTGTCATCTGACTGTAATAGGATGTGGGGGTATCTTTGGTCATCTGACTGTAATAGGATGTGGGGTATCTTTGGTCATTTGACTATGATGTGGGGTATCTTGGTCATCTGACTGTAATAGGATGTGGAGTATCTTTGATCATCTGACTGTAATAGGATGTGGGGGTATCTTGGTCATCTGACTGTAATAGGATGTGGGGGTATCTTTGATCATCTGACTGTAATAGGATGTGGGGTATCTTTGGTCATCTGACTAATAGGATGTGGGGTATCTTGGTCATCTGACTGTAATAGGATGTGGGGTATCTTTTGTCATCTGACTGTAATAGGATGTGGGGGTATCTTTGGTCATCTGACTGTAATAGGATGTGGGGTATCTTTGGTCATCTGACTGTAATAGGATGTGGGGTATCTTGGTCATCTGACTGTAATAGGATGTGGAGTATCTTTGGTCATTTGACTATGATGTGGGGGTATCTTGGTCATCTGACTCTAATAGGATGTGGGGTATCTTTGATCATCTGACTGTAATAGGATGTGGGGTATCTTTGATCATCTGACTGTAATAGGATGTGGGGGTATCTTTGGTCATCTGACTGTAATAGGATGTGGGGTATCTTGATCATCTGACTGTAATAGGATGTGGGGGTATCTTTGATCATCTGACTGTAATAGGATGTGGGGTATCTTTTGTCATCTGACTGTAATAGGATGTGGGGTATCTTTGGTCATCTGACTGTAATAGGATGTGGGGTATCTTGGTCATCTGACTGTAATAGGATGTGGGGTATCTTGGTCATCTGACTAATAGGATGTGGGGTATCTTGATCATCTGACTGTAATAGGATGTGGGGTATCTTTGGTCATCTGACTGTAATAGGATGTGGGGTATCTTGGTCATCTGACTAATATGATGTGGGGTATCTTTGGTCATCTGACTGTAATAGGATGTGGGGTATCTTGGTCATCTGACTGTAATAGGATGTGGGGTATCTTTGGTCATCTGACTAATAGGATGTGGGGTATCTTTGGTCATCTGACTGTAATAGGATGTGGGGTATCTTGGTCATCTGACTGTAATAGGATGTGGGGTATCTTTGGTCATCTGACTGTAATAGGATGTGGGGTATCTTTGGTCATCTGACTGTAATAGGATGTGGGGGTATCTCTGTCTGTTGGTGTTTTCTATGTCTCTTGCATCTGCACTAGTTTCTCTTCCCAAGAGTTGCCTTTTCTTTATGATTTTATTGGGATCTTTTCTGTTTCAGGCATATACTTCTCTGACCATACTTCATAGAATTTTTTTTTATCTTTCATAGTGTCCCAAAGATCCAATCCTTTTCCTCGTCTTCAAGCCATGATGTGTTCTCTGCATGATCCATTCTGCTTGTTAGGTTCTCCACTGAACTTTTTTTTCTATTTGAGTTAGTGATTTTTTTTTTTTTATTTGCAGAATAAGTTTGGCTTTCCTTCAACATTTCTATCCTTGAATTCTATTTGCATATCTTGAATTGACTTCCTTATTTAATTAAACTGTTTATGTTTTCTTAGAGTATATTCATACCCTCTTTGAGCTCTTTGCTCATGCTCAATCCTCTGTCTGATGAGCTTCCATCTCAGATTGACATTCATTTGCAAAGGAAATAATAGTTTTTCTCCAGTCTCACTGGGGATATTAACCAACTTAAGGACAGACCCCATGCCCAGCAGAAGACAGCCAACACAAAGTGAACACATGGTAACTTTTACAGACCTTTTCATCTCTTATCACTTTGGGCATTTATTGTCTTTTGTATACTATAGTTTCCAATTTTGTGGGTTTTATGTGTGTGTGTGTGTGTGTGTGTGTGTGTGTGTGTGTGTGTGTGTGTGTTATCTCTGTGTGTTTCTTGTGCTTTCTCTTTTTTAGTTTTTTAATTTCTGGTTTGTTTGCCTGTTTGTTTTCTGGGGGCAGGGGAAGGAGAATGGAGTTGGTTAGGTGATGAGGCCAGAAGGATCAGAGAGGCATTGCAGTAGGGGGAACTGTGATAAGAACATATTGTATAAAAAAATTACTTAAAAAAAATTCTTTGTCTGGAAGCCATTCCAAATTGCTTTCATTATTGGTCTTTACTATAGGATTGCTAGTTTTTGGAGGAGACATGTAGGAGTTGGCTGAATTTTTATTTTATAAGTTAAAAATATTTATTTATTATTTTATGCACATGTATATGTGCCTGAATATATAAGTGATGCATCATGTGTGTGCAGGGCCAGCAGAGGCCAGTTTTGAGACTAGGATGCTAGGAGCCAAACCTAGGTCCTGGGAACCAAACTCCTCTGAAAGAGCAGCAAGTAAGTGCTCCTAGCCTTGAGCCGCCTGGCTGCTCCCTTTGTGTTTTAAATTCTGGTCCCTTTCTTCTCCCAGTGCAGTGTGGCTCAGCTTTTCCCCTGGTGGTCTGCTGCGTCTCCTCCTGCTCATGGCTTGTCTCCGCATCAGTTTATTATCAGGGCGGAGAATTTCAGCATGGGATAATAACCACTAAAAGATGCTGTGGGAGGAGGAGGTGCAGGAAAGAGTCTTTCTCTACAGGTCTCAAGACTCAGTTGCAGCAGCGCCTTGACTTAAGTGCCTTGTCACTCTGCAGTCACCCAACTGATGCCTACTGTATACACACCTCTGTCCTAGGCAATACAGGGATCAGAGGAAAGACATGATGTCTGTCTCAGTAAACCTCAATTTCCACCTACAGCTAGTCAAGATTTCCAGAGGACATCCGCTGTAGGAAAAACCCAAATGACAACAACCATCACCTCAGGGTCACTTATGACGTTTGATGTTCTCAGGAAGCCGTGGTGGGAAAGGCTCTCCTACCTGGCTTGCAGCTCCAGTGTTCTCTCTTTCCCAGACACCTGGAAAGTGTGTGGATATTCTTCATTGTGAGTCTCCACAATTTTCATTCCATCAATGCCAACTCTGGTTCGAACTGTAAATTTTGAACCTACCAAGCTGAATCTGGGCACACAATATAGTAACATGTTGTTGAACTGCAAAGAGACAGAATACAAATTAATAAACAGGAAGATAAAGAAATTAAATATGAGTAATGTAACTCTGGACAGAAATGCCACTGACTATTTTTTAGAGTATATAACTTTCCTCTCTTTCTCTCCATTGTCTTGCTATGTAACCAGGATAGGTCTTGAACTACCAATCCTGTCTTAGAGTCCCAAGTGCTGGGGACATAGGCATATATTACCACACTTGAATGTTTTCTTAGAATTCAATTAAATATTCATTGAACAAATACATAATAAATGACTAAAGAGTGACTGAACTGTGAGACAAAATAAACAACTTCAAATATTCAGATCCGTCACACAAAAAATAAACTCATTTAGCATTTTTTAATAAAGTGGAACTTAAACCAAAGGATAAATGTAAGTAACCACTAGGCTGCAGGAATCATACAAAGTATATCACATATCTGAATACTTTCTTTCTCCATATAATGTACTTTACATTTTTCCTTCTTCCCAAATGATACATGAGAACTTAAGACTTCCCATGAGCTCCATTTTCATAGTATACTTTCCATTGCGATTCAAACTATCAGGAAAAAAAGGAGCATCAACAAATGCTATCGCCGCTGCTCTTGGTTGCACATTAGAACTTATGTGGTGAGATCCTGTTGCTGAATACACCACATATTCTAGATGCAAGGTGTAGAGAAGTTGAACACTTATCTGGAAGCTTCCTCCTCAACGGCTAGCTTCTATAGTACTGGAAGGTGCTATGTGTGCTGCTGAGGACAGAAATCATCAATGCCTCATCCCCATGTGGACCATGTGAGCTACAACACCGACCTGTTAGATAAGATGTGCCTACTACGTCAACAGTGGCAGGACTGATATGGGGGTAATCAAATGCTTCCTGATTGGATTTGGATTCTATAAGAGGAAAATCTGTCAAAAAATCCATGCGGAACTTACTACTGTTGTGTTGTTAACTGGATATGTTGTAAAGGTGCTTGGTAATTATTTATGTTTATAGACATAAACAAAGGCTACTTTCAGCCCTGATTAGAGATGCTTCTCTTTGCAGTAAATGCAGAGATTCATGCTCATTCAAGGTATTGAAAACAAGTGACTGTTGAGAGGTCAAATGTAAAGAGACATCTGCATCTATCTCTTACGTCAAGGCCCTGAGAATTCAACAAAAGAGGGAGAAAAGTATATGTAAGAGACAGAGGACCGAAGAGTGTGTAAGTTCTGTAAAACCCCGTCTTCTGGACACGACCTGCCATACTCGAACTCATAGAAGCTCTGGATACCTGCATAAGACCTGCACAAAGATGGTACCTGCTAAAAACCTCATTGTCCCTGGGGAAAGGGGAGTCATTTTCTTCAGTTGTATAGTATTCTATACTCAGGTATACAACTCCCTACTCATTCATACTTATCTAAGCAATCCTAATCAAAGTCATTAGGTCACAAAAAAGAAAAAAAATGAGAGAGTGAGAATGTTGCTGAGAAGGAGGGGTTCATTTTAATAGGAGCATGTTAAGAGAGGGTAATAGGGATTGAATGCAATCAAAATATACTATCTATGTGCATGAAATATTAAGAAGCTTTTTTAAAAACCAGAAACCACTCTATTTGTTCCTGAGCTATCTTTCTGCATTCTATATTAGTGACTCTTTGGAGGACAGAAGAAAAGACAGCATATTTTCTGAAGTGTTAGTCACAGTCCCATAGGTCACACTGACCCTGGGGATAATCTTCTTTAAACTGAAGTCAGTAGTGTGGTTGGGAGTGTGGTGTGTGTAGTAGTAACCCCTCTTTTACACAAAGTAGGAGAGCTTATGTTAAAAATCACTAGGAAATATAAATTGCAGTGCTGATGGAATCCAACAGAAGTGTTAAGAAGTACAGGAGACTTGTTTTAATAACTATTCAGCATAATGTTTAAGGACATAATACAATTTTATATTATACACATTTTTAAAGTTACAAACTCAGTAAAGAACTTGGAGTTGCTTACTCCATCAGTAAATTGAAAATGAAAACTTTAAATTTGTCAGTGTACAGGATTCTGAAGTGGATCTTGAACTCAGAATGAGCTATCAGGTTTCAAGGAAAGTCACATAACTGGCCAGATTGGCTAACTGTTGCTTGCTGGGGACTGGTGGAGCTGGGGTAGGTTCTGATAGGGGAATAACCTGGTAAAGAAAACCTCCAGGGTCCTTGTCTAGCTTTATAGGCAGAACCATGGTGGAGTAGTTTGCTGTCCTTGCTCTAAGGTACCTTTTATAGCATCCTCTACTGAGAAGAGACCAGGAACACGTCAACATTCAAAATAGTCTCAAAAAATTAGGAATAAACCTAATTAAAAAGACAAAAGAAACACATACACACACACACCCCGAAACAAAACAAAACCCCTTTAATCTCTAAAGAAAGAGATTGAGAAAATACTAGAAAATGGAAAGACCTCCCATGCTCATGGACTGGTAGAATTTTGAAAATGACCGTTCACCCAAAAACAATCCACAGATTCCCCATGTCATTCTTCACAGAAACAGAAACTAAATTCTAAAATTCATATGGGACCACAAAAGACCTCATATAGCTTGAAATCCCAATTTCAAGATATGTTACAGAGCTATAGTAATAAAACCAATATAGTACTGGTAGGAAACAGGCATATAGACAAAATGAACAAAATAGAACACCCAAATTTGAGTATATATATCTACAGTCATTGGACAAAGATGTCAGAAACTCAGTGAAGAAAAGATAGCATCTTCAACAAGGGATACTGGAAAAAGTAGATGTTGACACAGAAGAATGCAATCAGACCCATACCTATCACCCTGCATAAAAATCGAAAGACCTCAATGTGAACCCGAGTCAGTGAGACTGCAGAAGAAAACAAAGACAGTCTGCACAGGACTTCTTTAGTTCAGGAATTAAGGCCAAGAGTTGACAAATGGGACCTCATCAAGCTTATAAACTTCTGTGCAGCAAAGGGCACAGTTGAGTTAAAAGGAAGCCCATAGAATGGAAGAGACTCTTTGCCAGCTACACATCTGATAAACAATTGGTATTCATACTACAGAAAGAACTCAACAATGAAGAGTAAAGAAAACAAGTGACCCAACTTAAAAATGGTTTATGGTTTTAAACAGAGCCCTGAAAAGAAGAAATACCTTAAACAGTGTTTTACTCCTTAGAATTAGGGACTCCACCTTACTCCAGGCAATATCAAGAAAACAAGTGCTGGTAAGCACGTACAGAGAGGGACCCTCCTTCATTACTGTTGGGACTACAACCTGTGCAGCCGCTATGGGTTGAAAGTCTTTTCAGTGTGAAAAGACTGACCACAGGCCCTGGCTCTCCGCTCTTTGTCATATGTCCAAAAGAATCAACATTTTATTCCATAGATAAGTTTTACTCTATCCACAATAGCTAAGCAACAACCTATCTGTCCTCCAGATGATGAAGGGATGATGAGAATATGGTACATATACATAGTGGAATTCTATTCAGCTGTAAAGAGAAAATGAAATAAAGAAATCTGCAGGTAATGAATGGAAATAGAATATATTATACTGGGTTAAGTGGCCTAGATCCAGCAAGACAGATGTCACGTTTTAACACTTGTGTGGATTCTAGATCTGAATCTTCAGATGTGAGTATATAACCTGGGGTATCCACAGAAACCAAGAAAGTAAAAGGGGCCAAGGTGGGAGGAAGGACTAAGATCCACAATCAACATGTACAGGCAGGCAGACGCTGATGCTGAGAATTCTGTCCAGCATAAGCAGTTCTTTCTGTTCCATATATTTGATGATTTGACATCTTCACACCTTACTGACACTAAAGAATCACTCAGTCCACTGCTAAATGTGAACCTGCCTTCCCATTTAGCCTACTAGACCAGAGGCAAGTTTCAAATACTGTTTATTTACCTGCGCTATCATCCCTTATCTTCATCACCCAAGGGCCAGGTACTGGACAGTGAACCCTGTGCTTCAGATCCCACTGAAATTGCTCAAACCAGAGATTCTAAGCTGTTTACTGGGTCCTTCTTCTTTCCCTTGTGAACTACTAGGGCTCTTGCCCACTTTTGATGCTTGTCCTCTCTGCCTCTTCACTGGTTCTAGGAGCTTCGCCATTGCTTCTCTCCATGGTACATGGTTCCTCCTCTTGGGATCAGTGTTTTCAATGGCAATCATATTCTCACCTGAATAATAATGAAACCTACATTTTGTAATGGACTTCTAAATAGAACTTGGAACCCTGGTATGCTTTTTTTCCCTATTTTGCTACATATAAAACTATAACCTAGGAAAAACAAAGTACTTCTGCTTAACAGAAATGAGTTTTTATAGTGAATTTGGACAATATCTAAAATTATTATTGAGTGACTGGCCCAGAAAAATATCTCCAATACTGTAATAGTGGTATTTTTATCTTGGAGGAGCCAACAACTGTCTAACTGGACTCAAGACCCACTTGATAGGAGAGAATTTATACTTGGAACTGTGAACCTAGCCAACTACTTGTAACTGGAGAGGTCATAGCCCCTAGAAGACTCTACTACTGTCATTTTCCTAAACAATATAATTTCTAAGTGCATACTAAACAATTAGCTTTATACCCACAAATAAATGTGGCTCTTGCCCCTCATCAAAGAAGTTTCTTCTTTTCAACAGATGTTGTCTATTACAGAGATCCACAACTCTTCAAAATATAGAGAATAAGGGCCTGTGGGGTGCTCAAGGCCAACGGATACATTTACACCATCACCTCTCACCCAAGCCGCAGAGAACATTGTGGAAGAGATGCAGGAAAGATTGTAAGAGGCAAAGGACCAGGAGGCCTGCTATTAGATATTATCCTTACAGGGAAGCTACACCCATGAAGTCTCAACAATATGGTTACTTAAATAAGACTTGCATAATGACAGTCAGTTTATGTGCCAATGTGGATAGGAGAAATTTTACAAGGTTCCACCCCTTGATGAAGAGCTCCTGACCATCAACGACTGCTGAGAGACAGAAAATCAGTTTTCTTTAGGGACAAGCTCCCTGATGGGTTAGCCAATCCCCAAAGGTCAATCCTAAACACATGTACATACAAGCAACCCTAAATAGATGCAATAGGTTAATTAAAGAAGTCATGAATTTATCCTTTGTTGACAGAACCATTTCATTGCTTAGAATATACCATACTTTGTGTGGATATCTGTTTTTTTAAGTTTTTGAGCTAACAATCTTAGAATACAAATAGTTGGGTGGTATGGTAACAAAATGTTCTTAAAAAAAAGAGAAAAACAAAAGCTGTGAGTCTGCTGAGATGGTTCAGCAGGTAAAGAAGCCGGACACCCTGAGCTTCAGCCCAGAACCCCCAGGGTAGAAGGAGAGAACTACTCCTGTACGCTTTCCTCTAACCTTTGCACATACCATGGTGTGGGTACACACACACAGACATGTGTGCACACTCACCCCACCCCCCTTCACCCCTACACTCACCCACATACTCACTCACCCACTCACCCCACACACTCACACACTAAGCCCCACACATTCACCCCACACAGTCACTCACCCACTCATGCCCACACACTCACTCCACACATAATCACTCACTCACCCTCATACACACTCATCCAGTTGGCCTACACACACACCCCCCATACACACCCACTCACTCCACACTCACTCACACACTCACCCCCTCTACTCTCACACTCCCACACTCACCTCCTACACACTCATCTAGACACTCAATCACTCACACACACTCACCACACACACTCACTCAGACACTCAAACACGCACACATTCACACATACTGACACACAAATATTCCTACACAAATAAATATATATATATAATAAAACATTAAAAACACTGTGGGATATTAAAAGTTCCTCCTATGAAAATTAATCCCTATAATTTTTTTTCAAAGAAAGATGGAAATAATCTAGAATTTCTCAGGTCTTGAAGACAACTCATTATACATGCTAAAATGATGCTTGGCAGCAAGAAAATGAGGCACTAGACAGGCTCATTACAAACTTATCTCAACAATAATCATAATATATAACATTTGTTGAGTTATTATTCAATGTTAGTTTATTATCTGTTAGCCATTTTTATGGTGTTTCATCTTTTTAGGTATAGAGAGAAACAGAGTTCATCTTAGTAACAAAGAATAAAGGTAATGTGGACAGAAACTGAACAAGATAATTTGTCATTGTATCTCCCCATTTGAGTAAGTCCTAGATGAACTATCCTTCTCAGAATGCTAAGGAAGGGACAGAAGCTGACTGTGCCAAGGACAGGAGCACATTCACTTCCTTCTCCAGATAGTTTAGACTGGTGACTGGAGGGTTAGGGGGACAATTATCACAGGAAATAGTTTGGCAACAAAATGGTTAAACATGATATAATAATACCCATCAGCCTATAAGAACAAAAGGAAAGATAAAACCAAAATCAAGCAAAGGAGGATTTCAGAAATGGAATCATGCCCATGTGTGCACTATGGGCTACAGTCATGGGAAGGCTACCTTGTCTCCAGTATGCATTACCTGCAGTTGATCAACTCACAAGTATAAGAGAAATACTCATCACAGTTCTTAAGATACTCTCACGGAAAATCCCACCAATGTGGACTAAAGCAGGTGTGACGTAATCACTGTGGAACTAAGCAACTATGTCACTTCACGTACAGGAATTTCAGGGAACTGTTGGTGTGCAACTGGCTGACACTATCGCACTTACTAAGAAGAGGTAGCGTTCTTGTGCTGATGTGTTCCGAGCCGCGAGTTTGAGGATTTGTCCTTCTTTTATTAGTTCATTTGAGGGATTTACAATGTCTTCTTCTTCTCCCAACATCTCATAAATCTCTAAGAGTTTCTTCAGGTTCTCCTGGGAAATTAAAACAAAACACAGCAAGGTCAAATATAAGGTAATTTAAATTTAACTAAAATCTATGTAATTTAATAGATATTGAGAGTAAGTTTACATTTTGGTATAAAATGTATTAATAAGGTGAATCCTAAAAAAAAGAGGGGAATGGATTAGAAAGTTGGTAAACATTCTTTTCTGCTCACCTTTAATCTGTTCATTTTGGTCAAAAATCTGTAACAGTCAGAGTTTGTATTGCTGACTGCTGTGTAACCAGAAGGTCCCAGGTCCTCTGAAAGCCACTTACCATTTTCCTTATTGCACTATTAGAATGGCTTGCTGCTGTAGATATAATTTCAAGTGATTCTAAATGGGAAAAAGAAAAGTAAATAAATGTTTTGTCCATCCTACTACAGAAACACAGAGATCAAAGATGATGAAACTCTCTAGTATGCGGTTTCCACAAGTTATTTGTTAGCAGTTTATCTCCAATTACAGGATATTTACTTCCAAAATGATATATGTAATTTAGTATATAATAGGCCTTAGAAATGAACTTGCATTTACAGTGTGCACGACCAGGTTCGAAGCACTTTGCCAGGAGTAATTTCATATAAACAGCAGTCCCACACCATCAATCCATTTGTTGTGGCTCAAAAATAGCAAATAGAAATTTCTAGTAAAAAAAAATTCCCAAGTTTAAATTTTATATAGCACACAGTTAAAATTATTCTATTTTATTATATAGTATTAATTTCTAATTTAAAAATTAAACTGTATCATAGATATATGTAGGAAACAATATTGCTGTATGTAAAGTTTGGTACTAGTAACAATTAAAGGAATACACAGAACATTTTGGAAAGTAGCTCCTGAGGAACTTGTCTACTAGTTGGTGAGTTCTTTCATTTCCTTTTGCCACATGATAGAAATAAGGAAGTGATGTGACTTGGTTCTAGATCATATGACTCAAACTTCTGATACTACAGTTTGCCTACTAAACATAAACAGCTTTCTTTGGAAAGCACAACAGTCTGATTTGGTTAGAGTCTGAGGGCTTTACAGCCTGACAGTGCTGGGAGGGAAAGGAAAGGGTGGAGTGTGGTGTGCCCAGGAGCACAAACCATGCCCCCATATCCCTACCATTGCAGCCCCAGTTGCAGGCCAACAGGCAAGACTCCTGCAGGCAGGCCAGAGACTACCACCCCCCCCCCCCCCCCACTGGACCCTGTAACCTACAAGCCCTACTCCACCCTGCAAGCCCAACCATTCCCTGAGACCACAGCTGCTTTCTGAGACACAGATTCCACCAGGTCCAATAAGACCAAGAGCACCAATTAGATTAAGAGCTCCCATTGGACCAAGAGTGCTGATTGGACCAAAAAAGACTCCCTCAGACAAGACATCATTTGCATGGAGTGGAAAAAGAAATAGGTAGACCAGTGCAAAAAAAAACATTCAACAACATAAAGAGCAATATGGCACCACCAGAACCTAGTGGTTCTACATCTGTAAGACCTGAACATCCCAACGCAGAAGAAACTGACTTTAAAAATGACTTTAAGAAGATGATAGAGGCCTTTAAAGGGGAAATGAAAAATTCCCCTAAAGAAATCAAGGAAAAAATAAACAAAAAATTGGAAGAAATCAATAAATCCTTTAAAGAAAGCCAAGAAAACTAAGAAAAAGCAATCAAACAAGTGAAGGAAACAATCTAAGACTTGAAAACTGAAATAGAGGCAATGAAGAAGACACAAACAGAGGGAATGCTGGAAATGAAAAATATGAGTAAATGAACAGAAACTACAAATGCAAGCATAACCAACAGAATGAAAGAGATGGAAGAGAGAATCTCTAGTGCAGAGGATACAATAGAGGAAATAGATTCATTTCAAAGAAAGTCATAAGAAAGTCAAAGAAAACATTAAAGCCAAAAAAGTCATAACACAAAATGTCCAGGAAATTTGGGACGCCATGAAAAGACCAAATCTAAGAATAATAGGGATAGAAGAAGAAGAAGAAGAAGAAGAAGAAGAAGAAGAAGAAGAAGAAGAAGAATATCTCAAAGACACAGAGAATATATTCAACAAAGTCATAGAAGAAAACTTTCTCAACCTAAAGACGAAAATGCCTATGAAGATACAAGAAGTTTACAGAACACCAAATAGAATGGACCCCCCCCAAAAGTCCCCTTGCCACATAATAATCAAACCACTAAACATATAGAACAAAGAAAAAATATTAAGAGCTGCAAAGGAAAAAGGCCACGTAACATATAAAGGCAGATCTATAAGAATAGCACCTGACTTCTCTATGGAGACTCTGAAAGCCAGAAGGTCCTAGACAGACTTTATGCAGACACTAAGAGACCATAGATGCCAACCTACACTATTATACCCAGCAAAACTCTCAACTGCCATAGATGGAGTAAACAAAATATTTCATGATAGAACGAGATTTTAAAAATACCTATCCACAAATCCAGCCCCACAGAAAGCACTAGAAGGAAAATTCCAACCTAAGGAAGTTAGATACACCAATGAAAACACAGGCAATAGATAATCCCACAGCACTACCACCAAAAACAACAGGAATTAACACTCACTGGCCATTAATATCCATTAATATCAATGTGTGGTGATATTGTGTTCCCCAATATATTGTGCACCCTAATAAACTTATCTGGGGTCAGAGACAGAACAGCCACTAGATATAGAAACAAAGTCTGCCAGGCTGGCCATAGCGTGGCTGCCCTGGAGTGAGTCTTCACTGAGGTAACCTGGTTGCAAGCGACATGCCACTACCAAGCTATGTTCCCCACTTTCCCCAGTATTTCTGTAACAATATTCTCTAACAATATCTTAGGGAGGGATAATGCCAGTATTTCAAAGGTGGAGAGTTAACAATTTTGTTTTCATTTTAAAGTGTCCCCAGCCTGTGCGGCTAGTGCTGTAAATACAGCTTCCAATCCCTTTGTGGCTTTGCTGTGTCGAGTCCTGCACTTAAAGGTAAGGAGGAGTGAGGGAGGCAATGTCCTTATGGCAGGATCTGACTTGAGGGGTTTGTCTGCATCCTGATGCTCTGAGCAGGTGATGTGTTCCATATACTGTGACCTGGCTGATTTATAGGTTGGGCTCTGAAGATCCCCTTGTCTTTCTAAATGTGATTCTTCGTAAGGCAGGGAAAGAGGATATGGTCACTTAAAAAGAAAAAGAACATTTTTACATGTTTCAGGACCATGTGAGTACAGGCAGTTCTATGTGTGACATACAAAATCCAGGATGGAGTAAAACAAAATGGCAAAGGCTGGGGCAACTGCCAAGAGAAGTGAAGGAAGAGCTGTAAGACGTACTTCCAGTTCACCAGAAGCTCGGCACTAACACCCAGCACTCATGGGGGAAAACAAGAGCGTGGCCCCGTAAGTATCAGGCCAGGAACTATCACAAGTCAAACTATACAAACTTCAGAAGGAGCAAAGAGTGAGAGATGTTTCTGTGGTCACTAAGTCATAGTGGGAAAACACACTAGAGATGGCCTGTGCTCTAGATGGGACTTGGATCCTCACCTCAGAATAACATTGGCTTAAGAAAAAAGTCAAAAACATGCAGGAGGAGCATGTTTTAAAGACTATACTGTATTATTAGCACTGGCCAAATATTGAACCATGACTATTTCTTAATTTTTACTCATTCCTTTAATTTTTTAGAGGTTTAAAAAAACCATACTAGAGGGGAGGTAAAACATGGCTTTTTGTCTGTTTGTTTGGTTTAGTTAGACAGGGCCTCATTATTTAGCCCTGGCTGGCCTGGAACTCACAGATCCACCTGCCTCTGCCTCTGCAGCACTGAGATTTAAAGCCACTACATATGGTGCACCATGTACATATGAGAATGTGATATGCAAATCTCTGAGCTCAATCTCTAATATCACAAAAATTTAAAACTGCATGAGAAGCTAAAGAATTAATGAAACTCACTAATTAGTCTTAAAAATTCTTCATTCTAATCTAGTGAAATAATTAAGATGACCAACACAATTGGAATAAAGGTTTTTTGGAGGAAAATGTTACTAGACAATAAAGCACCTCACGTCCTGTGTGTCTCAGGGAGTAAGGCTAACAGTTATATTTACACAGTAATTGTCTTCTTTGCTTTCTTGGTAGGTACCAGCAGCACCTATGAGAAGGTAACTACATCACTACTCCAAACACCTCTAAGCCTATGGTTTTAGATCTCACAGTTAGCGATTGACATGCATCCAGAATGGGAAGCACGATTGCATTTCTCTAAGCCATTGTGATCCTGACTTAGTGGCTTTCCAATGTGATGATGTAAGACACTTCATTGGAACCAAAGGGCTGTTTGGCTACATCATTCTGCTGCTGTTGACAGAGAATAAAACCATTTACTTTTCGCATCATTCCAGTCTGGGGAGTCAGGGGACAGCTTCTTCAGGTAGTCCTTAAGGAGCATCTCATAGCGAGGGATCCGCTGAATAGGCTCCAGCATGTGATGCTGCAGGGTTAAGTTTCCACAGATCTTCTGTTTCTGTAATCAGCAAGATTTTTATTTTTAAATATTTTAATTACATTTATTCATTTTTATTTATTGTATGTGCATGTGAGTATGAAGGTCAGAGGACAACCTGCAGTTCTCTCTTTGTACCACATGGGTCTGGGGAACAAAGTCAGGCCATCAGGCTTGGTGGCAAGTCACTCACTGAGCCCTATAATCAAGGCTTTTAAAGGAATATTTAAAAATTAGGTTAACCAATATAAAATCACAATGTAATAAAGAACTTTCATCAAGGGCAGTATTTTCTATCAAATATAGTACATTACACTTCTGGGGTGCTTGGGAAAGTGCAGGTTTCTGAGTGCCCACCCCCACCCCAGTCTATGAAATCCAATGCTGGGAGAAGCCAGAGACTATGCATTTAAGATATCCCATCATATCGCTGCCAATAGGACACAGAGATACCGAGCTTCCCTTCAACGTCACCTTCCATTCTGACTACTCAAAGGTTGTTTGCCAAGGACAATGACCTCTTCCTGCCCCTTTGTCTCTCTTTGGGACTAACCAGAACCTTAAGCCTGGGACCCTTTAGCCTGCCCACTTGGCACAGAGACACAGGTAGGCTACCTGCACTCAGGTTCACAGCCCCGCTCCAGTCTGATAGGCCCAGGACTGCCTGCCAGAGCTCTCATCTCCTCTGGCCTGTCTCTCTCCCTTTGGGACTTATATGTTCTCAGCCTGCTCTCCACATGGGACTCTGTAGCCAGTATATATGGCTACAAGACCCAGGCTACTTCCTCCTTTCTGCCAGCTGCCTGACTGGAACCTTCCAGTTGCCATATCCAGTCTTGAGACCCAGGAACAGTCTATATTACCAGGGGAACTTGTTACAGGATCCTTGTTCCCAAACCACTTAAGGGGCCAGACTATACCTGATAAACAGAGACCTGGGATAGAAGGATGTAGCCCTAACTACTAGACAAATAGAAGAAATTGACACCTCAACTCCGCCATAAACATTATAAATATCCCCAATGAAAGAAGAAAGGTGATTTGAACAAAAAGAAAAAAAAACTCAACCAACAAACTAACTCCAGATGTACAAATCTCAACACATAAATAAAAATAATAACCCCCCCCCCAACCAAAAAAAATCAAAAAACAAAATAAAACATCTCCTTCCCCAAATATAAATCCCATAATAATGACCCTGTTACAAAGTATGGAAGAACTCTCAAAGAATTCAAAAGAATGATTACAATTATGACCAACGACTCAAAAAAGATAAGGACAAAGAGATGAATGTAATAAAAAAGTAAATCCAAAATATGAAAGTAGTTTGAATTTTTAAAGAAAACTGAACTGAAATGATACTGAAAATGAAAAACTCTTAGAGTTTATTTTGGCTTGATTTCAGAAGTTTAAGAGCCCATCACAGCAAGGAGGCGTGGTGGCCAGAAATGAAAGTAACCAAAAGCCTGAAGCAGAGGGGACTAACTGGAAGCATGGTGAAACTACACCTCTTGTGACATACTTCTTCCAGTAAGGCTAGACCACCTAGACCATCCCCAAACAGAGCCACCAACTGGGAACCCAGTGTTGAAATACATGAAATCTGGGAGACACTCTTCATTCTAACTATCACAAACATTGAAATACTGAATGAAGAAAAGACATTGAAAGGTGGAAGAGAGAAAGATGAAGTCACTTATAAGAACAGGCGTATGAGAACAAACCTGATTATCTGGCAGAAATCTTTGAATCCAGAACACATCTGGAAAGACGTATTCCAAGTCCTAAAAGACCACAACTGCCAACTGTGGTTGTCAAAATTTAGATGAAGTGAAAACTTTCCATGATGAAAACAGATTAAAAGAACTTATGACTAGTAATATAGTAATACAGAGGCTACTAGAAGGAATATTATGACTAGTAAGAACATACTACAGAGGCCACTAGAAGGAATATATCAATCTGAAAGAAGTATGAACATGTCCAAGGGAACATGTCAGGTCAAGCAATCAAAAGAGATCCATGAAAACATTACTAAGTCAATAAAACAACAGGAATTAATACATACTATTCAACAATTACTTTGAATATTAATGGTCCAAATTCCTCAATAAAAAGACCCAGACTAAAAGATTGGATCAGAAAATGGTCCATTCTATTGCTACTTCTCAGACACATAACTCATTGTCAATGATAAGACACAACCTTAGGGTAAAGGATGGAAAAACATATATCCCAGCAGATTACACTAAGAAACAGCAGGCATAGATATTATAATATCAACAAAATAAACTTCAAAGCAAAACCAGTCAGAAGGGAGAGGGAAGAACACTTCATACTCCTAAAAAAAATACATCAGTAAGATATTACAGTGGTAAATATATACTCACCCAACACAGGGGCACCTGATTTCAAAAAGAAACACTGTTAAAATGAAAACCACAGACTGACACAACACAGTGACAGTCGTTGACTTCAACACTCCACTCTCAACAATACAACCAACATCTTGCTAAATGGAGAAAAACTCAAAGCGTTTCCACTAAAATCAGGAACAAGAAAAAGATGTCCCTTCTCCCCATCCTGTTCAATACAGTACTTGAAGTCTTAGCTAGACCAACAATACAAGTGAAGGAGATCCATTTGGAAAGGGATAAGTTAAAATATCACTATTTGCAGATGATATGATTCTATATACAAAGACCCTAAAGACTCCATCAGAAAACTCCAAACATCTGATAAACACACTCAGCAGCAGGACACAAAATCAACACACAGAAATCAGTAGCCTTCCTAAAAACAAATAATATCTTAAGGCACTGAACAAGAAACTGAAGATACCAGAAGATATAAAGACCTCCCAAGCTCATGAATTGGTAAGATTCATATTGTGAAAATGGATATCCTAAAAAGTAATCTAAAGATTGAGTATAATCAAAATTCCAAACAACTAGTTACAGAAAATGAAAAAAAAAACAATCTTGTGTTTCATATGGAAATACAAATGATAAGCCCAGTCAAAACAATCCTGAAAAATAAAATAAAATCTGCTGGAGGTATCACCATTCTAGATTTCAAGTTATACTTCAGAACTATAGTAATAAAAGGATCATGGTGTTGGCATAAAAACAAAATCATTGATCAATGGGATAGCTTGTGGACCCACAGATAAGCCCACATTCCTTCAGCCATCTGAATTTTGACAAAGAGACATAGAAGAAAAAACAGCATCTTCAAAGACTGATGTTCTTTAAAATGGCTACAGGAGACCCTCAATCTGCACAAAACTCAGCTCCATATGGATCAAAGACATCAGCATAAGACCTGAAACCTGAAAGGAGAAAATAGGGATTATGCTTGAACTCATTGGCACAGGAAAGGGCCTTCTGAACAGGTCCCGGACAGCATAGACATTAAGACCAACAATTAATAAATGGAATCTCATGAAACTAAAAGGCTTCTGTACAGCAGAGGATACAATCATTCAATTGAAGAGGCAGCCTATAGAATGGCAGAAAGCTAGATATACAAAGCTAGACTATACAAAGAACTAAAAAAAACCTAAACAACCCAACTAAAAATGGGACATGAAACTAAACAGAGATTTCTCAAAAGATGAAATACAAATGGCTGTTAGATTAATAAACAATCAAAAAGTTCTACATTCTTAGCCAATCAGAGAAATGAAAACCAAAGCTACCTTGAGATTTCCTCTTATTTTAGTCTAAATGGCTAAGATTCAAAAATAGATGATGAAATTCAAAAATACATCGTGACAAATGGTTTGCATGATGAGAGGAAAGTGGAACACTACCACTGCTGGAAGGGTGCAAACGCTGCGGTCACCATGGAAACCAGTGCGGAGGTAACCAAAGACCCAGAAACAGACCAACACATGATCCAGTATATCACTCTTGGGCATTAACCCAAAGGATTCTTATAACAGAGATAGCTGCTCATTACAGCAGACATGTCCATCAACTGATGAATAAATAGGAAAAGAGTGGTATGTTTATACAATGCAATACTATTCACCTGTTCAAGATCAAATTTACAAAACTTGTAGGTAAATGAATCTATCTATCATTCTGAGTAAGGTAATTCAAACCCAGAAAGGCAAATGATGCATGTTTTCTCTCATTTCTGGGTGTTAGCTGTGAACATTTAGCTCTCTCTCTCTCTCTGGCTTGAAAGTGTGTAGCCCTGTGAATGTTACCACAGTCCCTTTGAGCTCATATGTCAGTCCTATTGTGTCTCAGAGACACTGTTTTCTTCATGTTATCCATCCCCTCTGAATCTTACAATCTTCCTCCTCTTCTTCCACATAGGTCCCTGAACGCTGAGGGAAGAGGTGTGATGAAGACATCCCGCTTAGTACTGAGATCTCTCACTTTCTGCACACTGTCCAGTTTTGGGTCTCTGTGTTAGTTCCCATCTACAGCAAGAGGAAGTTTCTCTGGTGTTGGCTGAACAAGGCAACAATATATGTCATTAGGAGTCATTTTATTACTATGTTCCCTTAGCATAAGAATAGTATTTGGTTTTCTCCTAGGCCCATGGCCTATCTAGTCCCAGGTTCTTGGCCAGCCAATCAGTATAAGGCAGGGTTTGCATCTCATGGAGTGGGCCTTAAATCCAATCAGAGAGTTATAGTTGCTCCCACGACGTTTGTCCCACCACTGCACCAGAGTAACATGTAGGTAGGTCACGGTTATAAATTGCAGGGTTTGGAGCTGGGCTGTTGTTTACCTTTCTCTTCTGGTAGCATGCAGTGTAACTTATAGAACCATGAACAGTAGTTTGTAGGGGTGGAGGCTCTAGTTATGTACCAGCTAAACTTCTTTGTGCTCAATGAGATATATATGTACAATAGCCTGATTGTTTAAGGGTTTCCCTGGGAACCCTTTGACCAAGAACTAAACTATATGTAACCCATTTCTGGCACTAGAGGTCCCACTTGATGGTAAAAGAGCTGGACAGAGGGAGGGATTTTACTCTCCCTCCTCCATTACCATCTCTCT